TCGCAGATCCCACAGACCCCGCAGATCCCACAGACCCCACAGACCCTGCAGATCTCACAGACCTCGCAGATCCCACAGACCCCACAGACCCCTCCCCACTCTGGGACCCTCGTGCTGACCCCTGTGATGAGGATCAGATTCCCTGAACTCTTCTCCCTCCCCGATCCCAACAGGAGCAGGGCCAGAAGCTCCTGGAGACGCTGCAGGAGCTGGAGAAGCAGGGCCTGGAGGGGATGAAGGCGCTGCTGGAGGGGACAGAGACCCCCCACCCCGAGGAACTGGCCGACCTCTTCTTCGACTGCGTGGAGGCAGAGCTGAAGTTTTACACATAAACCCCCCACAGGTGGGTGGGCTTGGCTTCCCCCCTGGAATTGCTCCTGGGTAGGGAATGAGAAAACATTCCTGGTGTCCAGCCCTGGCTCCCTGCTTCCTCCAGCCCTGCCTGGGGGTGTGGGACCTCCAGGCCCTAATTTACCCTGGAGAAAAGCACTGAGATGTGTCCATGGCCTGGAATGAGGTGCAGGGGGAAGGAGAGGGATATGGAGTGGGATTTGGAGCCCTGCCTGTGCCAGGCCCCCGGGATGGCTGCAGGGTGGGGGATCCACGGCATCCACACGGGATTGGGGTGGGAACAAAACCTTTACTCGGGGCCGTGCGGTGCCGCGCTGCTGAGGGATATTTGGGATAACTGCCTATTCCCTGTTCCTTTGGCACCAGTCTCCTTCTCCAGAGCTTTGCTCCGGGACTGGACACCACCAGGAGCTCGCTGGGACCCGCGGGATCCCCGGAGGGGTGTCCCTGGCTGTGCCCGGGGCCGGGAATGGCCCTGCCAGGGCTGCGGAGCTGTGGGGCCGGGGGCTCCATCCCCATCCCGGCTCAGCAGCAGATCCCGGCGTTCCTGCAGCTCCTCCAGCCGCGCCCGGTGCTCCTCCAGCGTCTCCCTCCTCCTCCGCTGGGAGTGCCCGACCAGCTCCCGGCGCAGATCCGCGAAGAAACCTGCCAGGGATGCGAGGAGGGAGAAGGATTAGGGGGGATGTGGCACTGCCACCCCTGTCCCCGGGAGTGCCACGTGTCCCCTTCAGGCCCCTGGGCACCTCTGTCCACGGTGAAAGGGCCGCTGGGCTCGGGGAGCAGCTCATCATCCTCATCCTCGCCGCGGGAAGAGCCTCCTCCCTCCTCTTCCTTGCCATGGAGGGGCTGGGCATCCAGCTGCAGGAGGTGGGGCAGCGCTCCCAACACCAGCTCCCTGGAAAAAATGAGGGAAGAGCCAATGTCCCCCCCACCTGAGGTGGCACCGACCCCCCTGGCACCGTGTCCCCCCTGCACAGCTCACCCCCAGCCCGGGCACAGGACAGGGATTCACATCCCTGGGCTTGCGGGTTTGGATTTGATGTCTTGTGGAATGGTTTGGGTTGGGAGGGATCCTGAAGACCACCCACCCCCTGCCACGGGCAGGGACACCTTCCACTGTCCCAGGTTGCTCCCAGCCCTGTCCCACCTGCCCTTGGACACTTCCAGGGATCCAGGGGCAGCCACAGCTTCTCTGGGAAATCCATCCCAGCCTCTCACT